TTGTACACTGAGAACTACAAAATCCTGCTAAAAAAAAAAATTAAAGAAGATCTAGATGAATGGAAAACTATCTCATCCTCATGGATTAGAAGACAATATTGTTTCAAAAGACCAAGTATATGATTCTGTTTTTGTAAAATGTCCAGAATTGACAAGTGTATAGAGACTGAGAGTAGACTGGTGTCTGCTTATTGAGGGTGATGGTGGAACAGAGAGGTAACAGTTAAAGGGCACAGGACTTTTTTTGTGTGGTGACAAAAATGTTCTAAAATTGACCGTGGTACAATATATCTGTAAATATACTAAAAACCATTGAATTGTACACTTTAAATTGGTGAAGAGTTGGAATGTGAATTATATTTCAATAAAGCAATTTAAAAATTGTAGCAATTGAAAATGCTTGATAGTCCATTAAAACAAGAAAACGTGCTAAATATGATCACAACTAAATACATCTCTCTATACATACATACATACATGCATAGGTAATATAGATAAAATAGTACAGATATAAATATACAGGATATAGATATAAATGAAATAATTCTACAGAAAAAGTCAAAAACACATGTTCCAATTTAGGCACAAATGAGAGAGAGAGAAAAAGTGCCAAAATATTAATAGTGGTTATTTTTTGGTGGTGGGATTAGTGAGTAATTTGTATTCATTTTCCTTTTTTGCAGATTTCTAATTTTCCTCAAAGTTATTTATATGAGAAAAAATAATTATTATTTTGGAATGTCCAAGATTTCTGGAATTCAGTCCTTCTTACAGAATTCAACCTGTTGTCATAAAGAAAGAATATGCTTACCTAAGAGTAGCTGGTCTATGCTAATGTATCTTGGTAGATGTAGAGCTGTTACCTGGCTTCCAAATCGTAAGAGAATTTCTTCATATCAGGCTCAATAACATGTCATTCATCAAAATATAGATGAAAAAAATATTAAAGGCAATGGAGCAAATTTAACGGACGATAGGGTTTTTGACAAATTGGAGAACATTCTATGTAAATTCAAAGGAAGTTCCTAGAAGAAGTATTTATGTTACAATTCTTACACTACAGAGGCAGATTCAGCAAAGTTAAGAACCTTTGTTCACATGTTAGCTCAGCAACTTTCTAAATCTGTGACACTGCAGAAGTGCCTTAGCCTCTCAGTGCCTTAATCCCTTTCTCAGCAAATTGTCATAATAACATTGTCTACTTCATATAATTATTAAGATAATTTTATATGTCAGTATTTGTAAAGTGCATAGAATAATATTTGGCAAATAGGAAGCATTGCAAAAGATTTTGCTGAATAAAAAATTATGTAAACCTATCCACATAAATCACATCAGAATCTATTTAATCTCACCTATTTGACCCAAGCCCCACATAGTAATCAAATATAACAGAATAATTGCACCCAGATAATTACAAGGCAAAGTTCTGAACAGATCATGACATAAAGCTTACTCCACACCACTACCTACTCCTTGAATTAGCACCTTTCTCAGTGCCAGCTTCACATCCTTGTTTCTCAAGGTATATATCAAAGGATTCAGGGAAGGGGTGACAATATTATTCAACACCTCAACCACAGAATCCAGCCAAGGGCTGGAGGCAGGTCGGAAGTAAATGAGAATCACAGGTCCGTAGAATAGCAGGATGGAAGTCACATGGGCACTGCAGGTTGAGAAGGCCCTGCACCTGCCTTCTGCGGAACGAATCTTCAATATAGAGGTGACAATGCAAATATAAGAAGTGAGAATAAGAAGAAAACACGCGAGCGCAACAACGCCTACATTGATGAAACTCACCGTGTGCGCTAGAGAGATGTCTGCACAGGCCAGGGGCAGAACCACGAGAAGGCCCTGCGCCTGCCTTCTGAGGAACGAATCTTCAATACAGAGGTGACAATGCAAATATAAGAAGTGAGAATAAGAAGAAAACACGCGAGCGCAACAACGCCCACATTGATGAAACTCACCGTGTGCACTAGTGAGGTGTCTGCACAGGCCAGGGGCAGCACCACCGGGATATCACAGAAAAAATCATTCACCTCATTGGGGCCACAGAAGGGTAACTTAAAGACGAGGAACGTGAGAACAGATGCATGCAGAGAGGCCCCCAGCCAGGTGGCTAGAGTCAGGGTGGTGCACACCCGATGGCTCATGATGACCGTGTATTGCAGAGGGTGACAGATGGCCACGAAGCGGTCATAGGCCATCACAGTGTAGAGGAAGCACTCAGTGCAGCCCAGGAAGTGGTAAAAGAAGAGCTGGCAGGCACAGCCCTGGTAAGAGATGGTGTGTCTTTGCCCCATTAGGTAGAGCATCAATTTGGGTGAAGTCACTGAAGGAAAAAATATGTCAAATACTGACAGGTTTCCCAGGAAGAAATACATGGGGGTGTGGAGGTTGGAGGAAGGAAGGATGGCCAGAAGGATGAGCAGGTTCCCCAGCAGAGTGAGCAGGTAGAAAGCCAGAAATAAGACAAAGAGCACATTTTCCAGCCCTTTTGTATGAGGAATTCCCATCAGGAGGAACTCAGTTACTGATGTGTGATTCCTCATCTTCATGTCTACTTAGTCCTGGAAGATCAAAGAGTGGCCTCACTGAGATGTTTTCACCCCCCCCCCAAAAGTAATAACTTTATAGAACACATTGGAAACTGGTAATAACTATATACTGTAAAAAAACTTCTAAATTGGGGTCAGTTCAATTCTGTCATTAATGTGTGACACTTACGTTAAGTCATTTATTTATTTTCATCTGTTTTCTCAAAAGTAAAATGAAGAGATAATGCTAAAGGCAGTACACAGGAGAGGACGTAGAATAAACGTTACAACTGGACACATCTAAGATTAAATACTAAATCTGCCCCCCACTGTGTGACTTTAGATAACTTTGAAAAAAAAATCTGTATATCTCCTCTGAATCTGTATAAATAGCACAATAATATCTTATGGCTCTTGCGAGGATTAATGCTTTAATAGGTCTATAAAGTGCCTAGCATAATGCCTGATCCTACCTATCGTGAGGATTAATGCTTTGATAGGTATATAAAGTACCTAGCATAATGCCCGCTCCTACCCATTCTTGTAAAAAAAAATGTATTGAAGACACAAATATTCTGACCTTAATGAGCTTTCATTCCACAGTATTTCTCTAGGTCGACTTGAAGCAGTTCTGGGTATTCTACTGATGTGAATGATTTTTGAAGCTGCTTACTCCATCACCCACTGGAGCAGCTGAAAACTGAGAATTTTCTAGTGGGCATAAAGTAAAACAGAATGGAAAAGATATTTAATGTAGTAGAAAGCAATAGATAATTACCAATATTTAAAGCAATCATATTCTTTCAATACAGAATTTAGTCTCTCATAGAAGTTACGTCTGCAACATGACAGAGCATATGAAATCACCATTTAAGCTTTTAAGGTTTAGCATCATTAATCAGAATATCTTAAGAGAATACTATAGAGTCAACTAAGTCAGTATCAGCTCAAAATCAAATAGAGCCAGTTCCCACACCTTTTCCACCTTCCTCTAGTGCACATACCCATCAGGAGATGAGGAGAAGAGAGCATTCCAGGGAAAAGGCACTTACACACGGAAGGGAAATAAGGCCAACTTGGATGAAAACCAGAGCTCGCACCTACTCTATCTCTGTCTCCTTTGCCTTTAGATGCTGTGGAACATCTGTGGCTCTGAGGACAGAAGAGCCGAATGAACCTCTTTCTCAGATTCGGTCTCAGTCCTGAAAATCCAGACCCAGCAGTGTCTCTGGCCCCTGAGTGAAGGAGCAGCAATCATCCCCTCAAAGAAAATAGATGTCTTTAGTTTCTTTTGAGACCCTCTTCCCTAGTGGATACTGACTTGAAAACAGAGAACAGAGGGAGCAATTAGACTGGAGACGTTCCTCTCCTCCCTCCTTCCTTCTTTCTCCCCACTGTCTATATCGCATTACTTCTTAGATTAAAAGGCAATTATACAGCAGTATTTAGTTATATTCTATTTTTAAAGCTCCTTGATTAACAATAACTCTTGAGCATGTTTTTTCCTTTAGTAGAGAGACATCCATTGGGTTCAGATATTTGAGATTGTCCAGTGATCCTGTGGTTGAGGTATTTGTGTTTAAAGAAAGAGCTGGAGATTAGGAAAAAGAGGCAACAAACCCATCTGATGTGAGAACAAAACAAACCATGCCTGAAACTTTTTTTCTACAATTAGCTTCATAATCTCCTATTATCACTTCTACACTGATTGAATTCATATCTTACACATGTTTTGAAAACATTTCTATTTCAAGACTGCTACTGATATTTATATTAGCATACTTTAATTATTGTAACTTGGTTAAGTGCATATCTTAAGAATTCAATCTGGACTCAGCCCCAGCAGGCACTGAGGTGAGCAGAGCCCTGCATGCCACCGGGGGCACAGACTCCAGCCCCAGAGAGTCCCAGCATGCACCGAGGACAGCAGAGCTCCATGTGTCTTCCGGGGCACAGACTCAAGCCACCAGAAAGCCCTGCCCATGGCCAGAGCAGGAGCCAAGGTAGTCTGTCACAGCCACAGCCACATCTACTGTTATCACAAGGATGGTTCACCATCACAATAGCAGTCAGGGCCACTCTAGAGGCCTATCTACTCCCACCACACACATGACTATGTTGATACAAAAACAGGAGGAAATATTCATCCTCATAGCCAACTCCAGAGTAAAAGAAGAAACATGTGCTCTACCAGATGACCAAAAATCAGTGAAAAAATATTAGAACTACAAACAAACAAGAAGATATGACATCACTGAAGGAATACAATAATGCTCAAGTACCAGACCCCACACAGCAGAAAAACCTTGAAATATCTGAAAAGGAAATTTGAGCAATGATCTTAAGAAAATTCAAAATGATAAGAGAAGACCCAATTAGAGAACACAATAAATTGAGAAAAAATATCCAGGATATGAAGGAAGAAATTTGCAAAGAGATCAATACATTAAAAAAAGAATGTAACAGAACTCCTAGAAATGAAGGATTCACTCAATGAAATAAAAAAACAGAACAGAGCTTGAACAGAGGGCTACAATAAGCTAGAGAGGACTAGAGAATTTCAAGATCTGAAATTCTTGAAGAAGGTCTTCTTGAAATAAACCAGGCAGACCAAAAAAAAAAAAAAAGGAAAAAGGAATTTTTGAAAAATGAAGAAAATCTAAGAGAGCTAGTGTTGTGGCAGAAGTTGCCAAAGCAAATGCAAACACTTGGAGAAATGGAGAAGCCAGATGATTTATTACACCAGCAGTCTCAGGGGAACTACTGTTCCAAAAACTTGAGCCCTGAATGCAGGGAGAACTGGGGTTATATACCTTTCTTGAGCAAGCAAGCAAGCTTTTCTATTG